CTTCAAGAAGAGCTGACCTTTCCAGCCTGCTCATACATGCCCATGAACACATACATACATATGAGGCAGGACTACCTTTGCTTCATTTGTCTGAAACAGCCTTCCCCTGGAGATTTGAATGGTCCCCTTTCTGCTGGTGTACAGGAATACAATTAACACAGTAGAATTTTTTATCTGTCACATAGACTATGCATGCTGGAGTTGGTTTATGGTTTAATTAGTATTAATTTTATGTATTTGTCTTATGAATATTTTGATTTTAATGATGTCAGCTACCAGGAGTCATTTCAGAGTATGCTGGTATGCAAAGAAGAAAACAAATAAAATTTGTGCCAGGCAGGGGATTTACAGCAGGTCATTGGAAGGATGGGAATGTTTATTACACACTTCTTGACTTAGAGCAAGTATATGATAATGTAATAGGCTTGAATTATAGAATGTTTTGCATGAATATGGAGTTGAACACTGGTTGCTGATTGCTGTAAATGGTATATGTTAGAAGTGAAGCATTCCTGAAAATAAGTGGAATGTTTATTGAGTGGTTCAACATTGAGCTGGGAATTAGACAAGAGTATGTGATGTCTTCTTGGTTGTTCAGCACATTTGTGAATAAATAAAAAAGAAATGCTTGTGGTAAAATAAGGGGTATGTTGGTCTGGGATTTTAATATACCAGTACACCTACATATACAAATCCATGGTGGGTTGGTTTAGGATCTGAATGATTTGCAGTTATTGTTAGATTATATGATGAGAAGTATGGATCTGAAAATGATGAATCAAACAGCAGGCTGATTGTGTTTGACAGTTGAACTGTAGGGAACAATTGCATATAGTGAAAAACTAATACTTGTTTTAAATATATAAATGCTGGTAGAAGAATAGTGGATAGTATGTAGTGTGTAGCAAGGAATGAATGTTCATCAAAAGAAGCAAAAATGGCTGTGTGAAAGAGTGTGCTTTGGCCTACTTTGTTATATAGTAGAGAAAGTTGGATATGTCAAGAGAAAATACAATTGAATGCAGTGGGAATGGGGTACTTTAAAAGTGCATGAGGTAAACCAAGAGATAGTCAAGAATGAATGGATGCTGGATGAATATGGTTTGGATGCAGAAGTTATTGATTAGTGAAGATAAAGTAGGTTGAGGTAGTTTGGCCTTACAAGAAAAATGAATGGGGAGTGAATTCCAACACAAATGAAAGAGGAGTAAATGGATCAAAAGTAGGAGAAAATTGAGAAAGCAGGAGTTAGATAGAGTTGATGGGATCATTAAAGAAGAGAGAGGTGAGAAGTTTAAAGAACAAAAGACAATGTATGGATTCAGTGAGAGCAATGATAGAAAGGTATGGAGAGTTACAGTGAGTGGTATTGGTGCAAAATAGTTATAACTATGTTTCCTTCCTTTTTCTTACATTTTTTCTTCAATTTCTTTACTATTTCTTATTCCTTTTACTGTGCTCAGCATAAAATTGCTTACACCAAAAGAGTATAGCATGATGGATATGTATATTTACTTGTATGGGTAACATTTGTAGAATAAATGGATCAAGTTTCTTTCTGTTCTGTATCAAGAGCCTAACATCTTTTAACTCTTCTTTCGTGTAGGCTAAGACCCTTGATTTCGACACAGCTAGCCAAAAAGCCGGCCACAGAAGAGGTATAGTATTGATTTGAACATTATTTCATTTGCAAAATCTGGAGAATCCTGTGCGATTTATCATCACACTTCTCCTTTCAGAATCAGCTTCACCCTTATGCTAAATATATTATAGAGCAGAAGTACAGAATTCACATGCAGCCTCAGGTTTAGCCTCTAGAATAAATCCAGAAGTTTGCTGCTGAAGCATGTTTTTTTTAATATAACAGAAAGAGAACGTAATTAAATGCATATAATGTATTCATATTAATGGTTTCAATTAATGTAATTCATTAAGCTTAAACTTAATTTTGTCCTGGCCATAACAAGTTCTTAGTCTTGACTCCACTCAACCTTTGGACTGTGGCTTTTGGCACAAAACTCAGAGCCAGCTGTAGGGCCTTATAACTCTAACACTAACCCCAGAGCACCTCTGAGTAAAACAGGGAACCTCCTTTCTTTTTTCCCCACTGTGTCAGAAATGATAACTGCTGTATACCTTGAAAGTACATGGTATGTGTTGCTATGTCAATTATCTCTTCCCCAGTATTCATCTGTGAACTCCTGCACTGTTTTGAACACCCGCTAGTTAATTTGCTTAATGAGCAAACGTGTACCACATAGCCTACCAGGTGGTACAGAATACACATGTCCTCCTCACAAGTTTAAAAGCTATTTGTTGTTTGGGTCATCTGTGGAAATTGACTCAGGAAGTTCTGTTGAAAAATGTCTTTGACAGTTTTATCTTTAAAATGACAGAAAATGCTTATTTCTGCTACAACCAACCCCCTCCAGAATAGTTTGTGCTTTTACTGGTTAGAAATCTCCCCCCAACCCAACTTTTATGCTGTTCTCATTAGAAAAACCTGCACATTTCTAGTATGCAGACATTTGGGAAATGGACATGATAATTAGCAGAAGGTCACGCTTTAATTAAGGCTGTGCAGTTTTTAAAATAATAGTTCAATTGTAGCTTCTTTAAATTCAATCATTCTTCTGTGAAAATGTACAAGAGGAATGGAAATTCTTGCATAACAATTAATATAAATTGGGATACTGCTACTCCTGCATCTGTTTCTCCTGATACCTGGATTCTCTATAGTGCTGTACTGGAATTCTTGAGTTGTGTTATTTTTCTGGCCATTATTGATAGGCAGTGATAGATATAGATGAATATAGATATCCCAGGAGAAGAGCTTTCTCTGCCGTTGCCCCCACTCTCTGGAATATTCTCCCCCCAGAGGTGCAGTGGGTTCCTACCCTCCCAGCTTTCCAGAAAGAACTAAAGACCTGGCTCTGCCAGCTTGTGTGGGGCATTAAGAGTTTTAATCCTGGGGGTGGCTGGCACCCTGATGATGCTCTCTGAGCTACTCGCCAATTATCATCAATTCTTGGAATGTATTTATTATTTACTTAAGACTTATTATATTGTATTTTTAATTAATTTTATCTTCTCTGTAAACCTCCCAGAGTCACTTTTTAATGAGATGGATGGTGACAAATTTGATAAATAAATGAATAAATTGAACTATATAGATATACATTGGTACCTTGGGTCACGGACTTAATTTGTTCCATGATTCTGGTCGCGACCCGAATTGGTCGCAACCCGAATCAAATTTTCCCATAAGATTCAATGTAAATACGGTTAATCCGTTCT